ATGTTCCTCCGTGGGCGATCCTGGACTATGGTCATTACTCTATTGTAGAATTCTTCTTTGTCTCCTTCATCACTTTCATTAGTTGGTGCGTAGCATTGTATAACATCTAGGTTGATGCTACGTTTCTTTGTTCGAAAGGTTGCTAAAAGAATTCTAGTACAATTAGGGTAAAATGTTGAAACTTATTTATTAGTGTTCAGTGATTTAATCTCTTATAGTTCACTTTTCTATGAAAACTCTTTTTTTTCTAAAATGCGAGTTTATATCCTCTACAGATCTTAGAACGTTCCATCAAAGTTTTATTTTCCACTCATGATCTCTCTCGTGTCCGAGCATATGTTACTCGTCAGCTACATAAACTTCTTGAGGGCAAAGTTGGTCTCCTTGACTTGATATTTGCTAAAGAGTTCCGCGGCACAATGGGCTACAAGCCTGGTGCTTGTGTACCTGCATTGGAGATTGCCAGGTTTGTTTTATAATATCAGAATTTTTATTTAACTTATTTTGTGGAATTATGACTTATAAAATATGAGATAATAAAAAAAACAGTTTTGCCCATTTTTTCCCCAAATACATTTGTATTTATGTTAAATAACATAGTTACCCATTTGTGTAGTTTTCTGTCGAAACTAATACTTTACAACTTGTAATCAGGTCAAATTTAAATAAAAGCTTGTAAGGTATATATAAAAAAAATATTTTTTGAAAATGGCATATGTGGGGGTGTGAGTGTATGGATGAGGAAAATATACCATAATTTAGATAGAGGGAAGTGTTTTAATGAGGAAGATGTACCAAAATTTAGCTACTTTTGTTCTCTCTTATCATTATTCCATGTTTAACAGATCTTTGTATTGTCATGAAAATTTGTTTTATAAAAATATTTTGCTCTGTCCATCTCAAAGCATGAACAATTTATGAACATAAGCAAGTTAACAAAATGTGGATTCTTGATGATGTTTTAATGTTATATGTAAAAAAAATAATTGTGAAATATGTAAGTTTAAGCAAATAAAACACCCATTTGAAATGCATTTTCAGCTATTGGGTGTAATTTGACCTCAAGTAAAAATAAAGTTAGATGGATTAGGCAGTCCCTTAATAGTTTTAGTGACTGTCCAGGAAAACTAGCACAAATGGAAATTGAAGAGCTCCTTGTATGTTAATTAATAACAAACAATCACAAGAAATGGTAATAATAGTTGACCTTGTAATCAACTTACATTACTGGATGATTGAAGACTTTTAAATTTTTAAAATTACTACTTACAGGAAACGTTTGAGAATAGACCGCAGGTCTGAGCCTCGTGTCGGTGAACGAGTGCCTTATGTAATCATCCATGGTAGTCCAGGTCTACCCCTGATTCAATTAGTAAGGGAGCCATGGGAACTGGTCACTGATACAACACTCAGACTTAATGCAAACTACTACATCACCAAACAGATTTTACCGCCTTTGGATAGACTGTTTGCTCTAATTGGCATCAATGTATTCAAATGGTAAGCAAATATTCATGACATTAATCAGTTTCATTTTTATTTATTTTTAGCAAAAAATGATAAAGTTCTTTACTTCTTTAATTAACTTAACCAGTTACTTTTATTTTTAAATGAGCCTGAGAAATTATCTTCTTTGTAAATAATTAAATATCTTAATACCTTCAGTGTAATCCTTTAAAAGTTTTGATACTCTTGTATCTTAAGGTACAGTGTCATGCCCAAAGTGGTACGAGTCGGACATTTGATGGGAACAGCCCAGTCAACTGCTAAACAGGTCTATATTTCTCTTTACATATAATTTTAATTAACCCTTTTTAGCTGCATGGCAAGTCAAGTAAATAACCATTTTAATCACATTTTGCTTAACCCGAGGCTGGTTCAAAATAAATTGCTGCGCAGAGACATAATGAATAATTTTCCTTCATATTTTTAGGTAATATACAAAAAAGGTGAATTCCATGTAAAAGTTTGCTGCCATACATATTTATTTCAAACATCTTGGTATGGAGTCATTTTTATTTTCTTTGTTTGGTGTGAGACTAGTGTCACATGACCTAAGGGATTAAGAATATGTCTTCCCCCTTTTAATAGAAATTTTCTTGAATTTTATTTTTTGTTTACATATGATATTTATAAACAGACAATTTTAACTGTCGTGGTCCATGTCACATGATGGACAAGCATTAAAACACTGTTATTTATGTTTATTTAGGTACATAATAACTGCTACAGTCAATTAATTGTAATTCTGTAAAAGAATTGATACTATTTCTCTATTTTTGATTGCTTGCATTCAGACGCCTTATGTCAATTACTAAGTCATGTTACGTCAGTAACAGTTACATTATTTATGTCTTTATTTTCTTAAAAAGTGATTTCTAAGTAGTTTTTAAAGGTTTTCCATAAACAAAGTAAGCTTCTTTATATAGTTAGTTTGAAAAATATATTTCAATTACATCCGATTTCAGAAGAAGTCAACAAAAAAGGTGCTAACTCTTTTTGCATGTTACATCAGTTTCAATTACAAAATTTATTATTTTTATTTCTATGCTTAATAATATTTATAAATGTTATTGTTTTATAGTCTACCAACTTAAGACCCAAAATACATGTATGGTTAAATTAAGGACACTTAATCTCATTTTTTATTTATTCAAAATGTATTTAAAAAATGTATCTATTTTATTTCATAATTACAATATTATCTACAAAAAGTGGACTATCAAGTTAAACAAATTTGCCAGTGTGTACCATTCACTTATGCTTTGAACTTTAATCATGAATGTAAAATTAAAAGGCTAATAAAAATAAATTACAGTAGGTAATAATGATATGAACAATAAAATTGAAAATGTGCCAAGCTCAAACATACCCAGGTGTAGAGCAACATCCTTAATGAGGTGCACTTATCACCAGCTAACAATGCAATACAACAGCATGAAATAAATGACAAAACCAATAGCTATAAACATTTGGGAATCATGCTTTAAAGAAGAAAAAAATATATATATTTTTTTTTTAATTTCTAAAAAACTGCTGATGCAGCATTATTTTTATAAAGTTCATGCATATAATTTGTAACTGTCAATTTTTTTAAATGTATAGTTGGAAAATTGATGCACACTTTAATGATTTGCTAGATTATAGAAATTATATATCTGTTGCCGTCATTGTTTTCACCTCATATTGTTTTACTTTCAACAGGGTACCATATCTCAGTTTTTTGCTACTACAAATTGTCCTGTTTGTGAAATCCAGACAAAAAAGTCCATTTGTGACAACTGTAGAAGAGATCCACAGCTTGTTGTATGGACACTGACTGCCAAGATTCATGACTGGGATAGGACGTATAACAAACTGACTCAGGTTAATTTTTACATTTTATTCATTTATAAGGTTAATGGGGAAAATGTTACTTTAAGATAAAATTAGATGAAGATTATTTAAGATAATATGGAGAATTAATAAAAATAATAATATGCTTAAGCTATGCAGAATGGCTTAAATTTTCTTTTAAAGTTGCAGAATAATTTTATGACAGAATATCGCTTCTTCAGGTCTGTCACACTTGCCAAGGGATACAAGAAGGTGAACAAAGTTGTGTCTCCCTGGATTGTCCAATATTGTTCCGTCGTAATCTGGCCAAGATGGATCTCTCAAGGTCTGACAACCTCCAACAAACTCTGAACAAATATTTGCAGTTCTGAAGAGAAGATGGAATGAATGATTTGAATGCAACTGTCAGTTTTTGTCGGTTGGATTCTGAGAAAATTTAATCAATGATCTGTTTTGTTCATTTAGTCCTTATGAGTTTTACCTTAATAGCCATGCTTGGAGAATAGAAAAAAAATTTTTTTATGAGTTTAGTGCCTGGTCATAAATACACAAAATTTACAGCAGGGATTAATGATACTTTACATATTTTAACCTAGATCTTTTAGGGCTCAATAGGAGAACTATCTACTTAATACTTATTCATAATTATGAAGTTTATTCTTTAAAGATAAATATGTTATCTCATAATACAATTTGATGTGACTTTAAATGTAAAAGCATAATAAGAATAACTATATTGTGTTTTATAATTGCCATTCACACAACAAACCATGTTTACTGCATATCATAATTGACTTTATGTTAAATGCTCAAACAAGTATTTATTAACTGTGCAATATAATTCAATGTTGTGCTGCCTTTAGTGGCCATTTCACCAAGTTTATTAACTTCTTTTTCCCCACTAAATTCTTTTGTAGATATTCTATTTATTTTATTTTCAAATATTTCAAAAATTAAATTCGTATATTATTTGTTAGTATTTCTTATTTAAAAGGTGCTAGATTTGTATGATTTTCATTCATTTCGTAATAAATAATCATCAGACATCATAATCTACAAAATTGAAAAGAACCTTGAATATGCCTATCTACCTTGATCTTAGTTTTTAATTTTATTAAATTCTTATTACTGTTGGTTGATTAGTATAATGTTTTTAGGAGAGTCTGAAATCGATATTTTTTAAATGGCTAACAACACTTGATTTTCTTTAAGTACTGTAAACACTGCTTTGATTTGATCTTTTATATACTAGCCTTAATTATTCAATATAAGTTATAGAACATTTGAAAGCACAATTTTCACTGTAAATAACCATTTATATGGATGACCAAAGATGTCTTTTTAAAAAATTATATGTTGTGAACATAAAAGAAAACTTTCTTCATACAAAGCATTACTATATGAGGGGCATTTTAGTTTCCTTAAAATATTACAAGTGTAAATACTTAAAGGCTAAACTTTGACACTTTCAAGGCAAAGCAAATTAATCCAAATGTTTGATAAACCTTTTCAAGATTTTTGAGATGTTTAGGAGATGTTTTATAAAGTCTATTGATGTTTGTATAATGAACAAAATTCTTTCCCAAATGAATATTAAATTTTTTTTTAAAATCCCATGTCTATTTTCATAATATGCCTTACTATTTTGGTTAATATTGAGGTAATCTAATCAAGTTGTATGTAAAATTAATTAATTTGTTAAACATCCTACTTTATTAAAAATATAATTTCATTTTACAGATAGAGTGAGAACATGTTATCTGGACATTTTCCTTACACTCTTTGTGCAATTATTTGTTGTAACAGTTGGTATCTGGAATTCATTTTTACATCTTTGAGTTTAGTGTTTAAATTACTAAGTTCAAGAATTTGTAGTGATGTAAGCTTTTTTTTAAAAGTTTCTGTTAAAATATTCCACTACAGGATGTGATCTTTTGACTTGTATAGAGTGTTGAAAAAAAATCATTGACTATGTTCTGTACTTTCTTGTCTCAAGTCTTGTAAATATCATAATTAATGTTCAATAAGCCTAAAGCATTTATTATTAGCTGCTGAGGTGTCTTGTCTGCTGTATGTAATTCTTCACTCTCAGTTCTTGCACAATTACAATGTTGTTCTATTGTTTGTAAAAATAAAATTAATTCTTTTCATTGCAGATTTGTGTGATTTCAGATCTGTTCTGTCTTCAACATTTTACCTTGTTCTCTTATCTAGCAGATCTTGTTTATATATATATATATATGGGATTATACATGCTTGTAAACATCATAAAACATTTTTGTTAATTTGTTCTCTTTTTTAATGTAACAGTTGTAATTTTGTATGTCAATTTTTGTCACTTCTAAATTTGAATTAATTTTTGTTTCAGTAAAACTTTTAATATATTGGCATGTAACTAAATGTGTGTCATTGCTGATTATAATATAACAATGTATTAGTTTAGTCTACTCTAGTTTCAATGTCATTAACTTTTTTATACTATATTATATTTATATGAGGTTAAAAAAGGGGGCATTTTAAAAAAAGTTTTAAAGGAAAGCTTCCAAAAAATACAATAAGAAAAAGTAAGACTGTTTGAAATTCTGATAATTCAGGTTCAAATATACAATAAATAATTTAAAACCAAATGTTGAAGCCCACATATATTTATAATGCATACATATTTTTAAAAATAATAATTTGCATTCTTATATCCGGCGTATACAAATTTTGAAGCATGTTCACCAAATTATGTTTTGAAAATGTTATTAATTTTTGTTTTCAATAGATCTGATTATAATTACCTTAGCTATTACAACTGTTGTCATCTGTGTACAGTTTTTAGCCAACTTAACTGCCATCAAATATGTTACAATTGCATCACATAATCATTGTTATTTTGGAAAAAAAACATGAATCTGTACAAATAAATAAATATATTATTTAGAAATACATGGGTTATTGTATTTTTAGTTGGTTGTAGATGTTACAAATATTGAAGAGATTTTCTTCTTTAAAAAATGAAAAGAAAAAAATTCCTGAACAACACACAATATTTCAATATTTTATATAGTCAACTTAATTTCAATACTTGGATGCTGCTATATTAACTACAAGGGGTGATGCTGCTATATTATCAACAAGGGGTGATGCTGCTATATTATCAACAAGGGGTGATGCTGCTATATTAACTACAAGGCCTGTTTCAATGCTTGTGCTGTATCCTTTCTTTTACTGCTGTTTGTTTTTCCATCATGACACTTGCACTGACCATAGCGAAATATTTTCAGACAGTGATCTCCTACTACACTAAACTCAGCAACTACTAAATGGCCTTCTAATCCTAGCGCTAAAGAGTAAATGTTGCCAACATCATCTGTTGGTTTGAGGACCTGTTGCAAATGAATTTAGCCAAATTTTAGTATTAATAAAACAGACAAAATATGTTAAAGGACAAATAATGTTAAAGGAGGAATGATTCCTCTTAGATCTAAGGGCCACAAAGATTTGTTTACAGGCAACATGATAATTCTTAAGACCAAATTTTACATAAAATTATATTATCTGTGAACACTTAAGACAATATCAGTACAAAGAGCCACTGTGATCTTCCATTGTTGGCCCATCTAGGCTTAAGCGAAGTTTAGCTTTAACATTTTAATTGAGGAGCATTTTTAAATGGAACTATTGCTGATAGCTTTAGAGCAATAACATGAATGCTGGTACTAATTTTGTCTTTATTAAAAAATTAACTTACTTGTTGCAAGAATGTCCCAGAATCTGTGTACAAATTAACAGTATGGTTAAGTGTGTCAACAAGAAGGATTTGCCCAAGTGGAGTTAAACAGATGTTCCCTGCTGCCACAGCTAACCCCTGGGTCTGACTGTCTGGCTTGAAATATCCTAAACAATCTCCCTTAGGTGAATACTTGTAAATGAAGCCATCTTCAACATCACTTACTATGATCTGAGATAAAGATTAACAAATATTTATTACATAATATATCAATGATTGAAGCTTATGGTATATCACATTGTCCTCAATTTGTTTATTATATAAAATTATCATAAATTATTTTTTAATCTTCTACAAAAGCCAGGATTTTGAGATAATAAATTTGTTGAAAATATCAGATTACTAAGTTACTTCAAAAGGAAGATAATTAAATAAGCAGAGGCAACCATCAAGGTTAGTTCAAGGTATATTGCATGAAAACAACATGGAGCACAACTAGACAGCATAAAAGCGTGTTGTCACTACACAACAAAAAAATATTGTGCCTGTGACACAATAGGTAATTAATATTTAGTTATTTTGTCAATTTTCATCAAAATTATGGTACTTCTATACAGCTATTAAATAATTTGCAAATCAACACATGAAATTTATTGGAATAATAGATATCATTTTCAATATAAAAAAACTGAACAATTTCCTAAATGAAGTTCCTTTTGTTCTTAATAAGGAAGCTAAATATTTCCACTGTGCTGCCAACAAATCTGTGAGATTTACTTAAATATTCATTCAAATTCTTTTATTTAGAAATAATGGATTATATTTTCTAAGACATGTAACAAACTTACTGTAGAGTCATATGACATTGTAACATGTACACCACCACTTTTTGACTTTTTCTTAGAACCTACAGGAAAACTGGACCTGATCTCTCTTTCATAAGAGTCAAACATGATGACCTTTTTAGTTGTTGTTGCTATTGCAATGTAAGATTCTCTGTCACATCCCAAGCTGAGGGGCTCCTCATGCAGTGGTATAAAATATTTAAAGACGAAATCTTCAGACAACACCTGCAATGAGCAATATCATTTTGTATCACGCTAGAGTTTATTGGTGGTGTACACCATATGTGAATCCTCCTGTAATAAAATCATATTATATAAATTTTAGCCATAATAATAATCATGATGTAAAATCATTGTTATTATCAATGTTCCCTCTAAGGTTTGTTGGTTCGTGTGCAAAATCATACAGTTGTGTGCAAAATTGTACAGCCCACTCACTTGCATGGAAATTTGCTGGTTGTACTCAAAACTGCTGCACTGCATCTGTGAGATTGTTGCAGCTTAAAGGGAACATTGGTTATTATATAATATTGGGTTCATATACAAGGTGTAGAATTATGCACTCCATGGTGCAAAAATCAATAAGTCTTCTTCTTCTTCTTCTTCTATATCTTAAGGGCCCACGATCAATTTATTGATCATTTTGGCTCCTATGCATGTAGATAGTCTAATCATTAAGCTCAAATATGATTCTTTGTATAAATATATATTGGATATAGCAAATGAATGGAATAAAATTTGATGATAAACTTGACATCTTTTAGCTCAGAAACACTAAAAAAAATAAACAAAAAGGAAATGTACAATCAATATAAAATTGGAGGCTTTGATCTATGCAACACATGAAGCAGCCAACTGGACTCATAATAATAGTAATATTTTTTTCAAAAAACACTGCCTGGTTATTATCTTATTGACTGTAGGTTTTTTTAATGATCATACATGGTAGTATTGCCCAGGAAAATGTTAGTCTTATTCTAACTTTGGTAGTAGTGCCCAAGAACATGTTAGGCTTATTGTGTACTTTGGTAATAGTGTCCAAGAACATGTTAGGCTTATTGAGTGTGTACTTTGGTGTTAGTGCCCAAGAACATGTTAGGCTTGTTGTGTACTTTGGTAATAGTGTCCAAGAACATGTAAGGCTTATTGAGTGTGTACTTGGGTGTTAGTGCCCAAGAACATGTTAGGCTTATTGTGTACTTTGGTAATAGTGTCCAAGAACATGTTAGGCTTATTGAGTGTGTACTTTGGTGTTAGTGCCCAAGAACATGTTAGGCTTATTGTGTACTTTGGTAATAGTGTCCAAGAACATGTTAGGCTTATTGAGTGTGTACTTTGGTGTTAGTGCCCAAAAACATGTTAGGCTTATTGTGTACTTTGGTAATAGTGTCCAAGAACATGTTAGGCTTATTGAGTGTGTACTTTGGTGTTAGTGCCCAAGAACATGTTAGGCTTATTGTGTACTTTGGTAATAGTGTCCAAGAACATGTTAGGCTTATTGAGTGTGTACTTTGGTGTTAGTGCCCAAGAACATGTTAGGCTTATTGTGTACTTTGGTAATAGTGTCCAAGAACATGTTAGGCTTATTGAGTGTGTACTTGGGTGTTAGTGCCCAAAAACATGTTAGGCTTATTGTGTACTTTGTTAATAGTGTCCAAGAACATGTAAGGCTTATTAAGTGTGTACTTTGGTGTTAGCGTCCAAAAACATGTTAGGCTTATTGTGTACTTTGGTGTTAGCGTCCAAGAACATGTTAGGCTTATTGAGTGTGTACTTTGGTGTTAGCGTCCAAGAACATGTTAGTCTTATTAAGTGTGTACTTTGGTGTTAGCGTCCAAGAACATGTTAGGCTTATTGTGTACTTTGGTGTTAGCGTCCAAGAACATGTTAGGCTTATTGAATGTATACATGTGTAGAAATGAGATCATCCAAACAAGTTTTTTCAGTGCTTTGGTCAGTATCACTTTGAATATTGGCAATGCCTTGATTCAGAAAAAGGACTCTCATCATTCTTCCATCTTTAGGCCTACATATTTATTTAGACCCGCCCCATATACCCTATTTGCTCTTTATCACAATAAGCACTGAAAAGAGAGAAACTTGCTTGCATTGAAAGCCCTTTTTATTTACATTTCCAATTCATCAATATCATCATCAGTGGCGCTAGAGCCCATGTAGGGCCCTGGCCTGCTCCACCACATCCTTCCATTTGGAACGATCCATGGCCTTCTGCCTCCATGCGCAAACCCCCAACTGGTGTAAATAACTCTGCACATCGTCGATCCCTCTCAGTCTTGGGTGACCAGTGAGTCTTCTGCCCCTAGGTTTCTGCCTCTATGTCACCTTTGCTGCTCTACATTCAAGCATCCTTTCAATATTTCCTGCCCAACGCAGTCTGACTTTTTTTTATTGTTGCGACTATGGATGAGTCTTTGTATAATTGGTATAGCTCTTGGTTTGTACAGATTCTCCAGATATAATTTTACATCATTGGGCCCTATATTTTTCTGAGGATTTTCCTCTCCCGTGTATTGAGAAGGTTCTCTGCTTTTTTGGTAAGGGTCCAAGTCTCACTAGCATAAGTTACTACTGGTCTTATGATAGTATTGTATATTGTCTTTTTTGTTCCCCTTGAGAGGTTTTTGCTTCCCAGTAGCTTTTGTAGGCTGAAATAGGAACGGTTGCCTGCTGTTATCCTTTCTTTCACCTCCGACATTATCTCATTGTGCTCGTTTATAGTTGCCCCTAGATATTTGAATGTAGCCACTCTCTCAAATTTCTGGTTGTTTATATTGATGTTATCATCAGCGTGGGCGTTTCGTGACATTATCATGTATTCTGTCTTCGGTTCATTTATATCAAGACCAGCCTTGACTGAGGCATTTTCAAGTTCCCTGAATGCTTTAATTATGTCGTTACCAATGTTCCCTTTAAGCTGTGCAGCTATCTCACAAATGCCACGCAGCAGCTTTGAGTATCCGCGCAGCAAATTTCCATGTAAGTGTGTTTGTGTTTGGGAGCTGTAAAATTTTGCACACAAAAAAATTGATGCTGTAAAACTTTGCACACAACTTTATGATTTTGCACACGAACCAACAAACCTTAGAGGGAACATTGGTCGTTACTGTTTCAACCCAAGAGCGCTATATCGTCTGCGTGTGCCAGACACTGCAATGGCTGACTATATAAGGTTCTTGATGGTTGTTGTTCTGTAATACCTCTCTGGAAGTGGCTTGCTATGGTTCCACTGTTGCTCACGTGTATGCTTCTAATAACTTTCTCTAGCATGATGTTAAACAGGATACATGATAGTGAGTCTCCTATACTGAGGCCCTGATTCACTGGGAACTCGCTTGAGTATTCTCCCTGCACTTTGATTCTACTTTTGGAGTTAGCCATCATTATATGTATGAGCCGCGTAAGCTTGTTAGGGACTCCAAGTCTTTGTAGATCGTTGTATAAGTAATTCTGTCTACGCTATCATATGCTGTTTTGTAATCCACATATAGTTGGTGTATGTCGATGTTATATTCGTAACATTTCTCTCTAATCATCAATCTGGTAAGCCTAAAACCCTTTGTTGGTCAGTCATCATTTGATCAAACCCTTTCCCCATAAGTATTTTCATAAAATCATTGAACTCTTAACTGGTTAACTACCGTGAGCCAGTGGAAGTGGCTGGGCATTTGTTTTGTTATGGCCACAAGCTGCTTGTAGCGCCAATGTTTGTATCTTAGTAAATGTGATCTAGATTTAATTCGGCCACAGCGGTTGTTTTAATCTGGTAGCTAATCAGTTAACTATCTTGTGCAATGATGCTAAAAACTTTTGAATCTTACAAACATAAAATTCTTATTTTGTCTAGATTTGAGTTTGAGACAGAAATCAGTCAAGCTAGTAATGTAAGTTATGACCTATAGCTGGTAAGGATTATTCCAGTATTTATACAATGCTCAAAACTTTCCCATTTTCAAAATTTAATATGATTTATCTCAACATAATAAGAATCTCATTTAAAACATATTTAAATGAATGGCTCACAACTCATGTTGCATAACAAATCAAAGAAATATCTAAAGTAAATGATACAAGATCATACTTTTAAGAATCTATTTAAAATGATATAATCACAGATTAAAAAGGAAATCATTAGTATTCCACAGACCTGCAAAGATTTGTTCTTCCTGTCAGCAACAGCAACATCTCCATTAGGTAGTTCAATAACATCACAAGGTTCGTTAAATTTTAATTCCCCTTTACCAAGGCAACCAACTTGATTTACAAAAATTCCGAACTGATTGAAGCGCTGAATTCTATGGTTCATTGAATCTGCAACCAAAATGTCACACTCCATTGTAGTGCAGATACCTCTTGGGTAATTGAACTCGCCATCTGCCTTTCCCTGGGACCCAATCTGAGATATAAGCTTGCCTGGACTGTAGATAAAAATGTAATCTATTTTCATTATAACTGCACATAAACAAAAAAGATTTAAAAACTTCAAGCTACCAATGGTAATTCACTTTTTTAAAATATAGCAGTTTAAGTGTGATTAACTTCTTTAAAAATAACGTAAGTATAAAATATTTTAATGACACAAAAGTCTTAACAATATCATTCCTCTAAATTAGCTTACTCTCTGGATTCTGGTTTTGATGTTTCAGTTTTAGAATGCAGCTGATCAACAGCCTTATAAGTTTGTTGTAAGCCATGACTAAGAATCCAAGCCTCAAACTCTTGGTTGCTTGAGTGGTTTTTCATTACATCAGCCCTACAATCATGGACTAGAAAAAAAAGTTATATTAATTTTCCAAGTATTAAATACTAACAAGTAGGCCTATTTTCATTAAGCCATACTATTGCTTAGAAAATCTGCTTTAATTTTGTATCATCATCATATCATCTTAAACACTATCTGCAGACATAGTTTAAAGAATATAATACACAATTATTCTAAGCAAGGGACCAACTAACAAATGACTATCTGTATTAATCCAAGCTAGAATTGCTAATTAGAACTGGTCCGCCCATTATGGAAAGACGTCATTTCCGACTGAATGTATAGATTTTTCATGGAAGCAGGGGAAGATAATTGTACGCCTGCCCTGAGCAGTGCTAACTCTTGTTACACCAGCATTCCAGGCACAAAGAGACAAATAAGACTTGCAAGCCATCTCCCTGCATACTAACTGTCATATATAAAGTCTTAGTAACCTTTCCATGTGAAAAAAAAATAAAAAACTGAACTATTAACTAGTTATCAGATATAATCTGTTAGTTATCATCTCACTATAATTATTTAAAATTTATCTTAGAAATTATTTAAATTTAATGTCTCCAAAATTATTTTGAGACCCATGAAAAAATTAAACTTCATTGCCGTCATCAGCACAAAAATGTAACCCACCTTTGCATTAAAATTATGGATTAAAACTTATTAATAATGGATTAATTTTTTTTAAATTTTTACTAGCTAAATAAACATGTTTGTATACCTGGCCTGAAATGACGACTTCTAAACACTTTTTTCCCTTCTTCATGATACAAGGTCCTTAAATTTTTAACACCGACTCGAGACGGATGAGCAGTAAATCCAAGTGGATGAATTCGATAATGAGACTGAAAATCCACCATTTTAAGGTCTGATCACCCTGAAATATATAATCAAGATTTTATTTGGAACAGATATAGGCCTATAGTCGGTCTACTAACAGCATTTCCAAAAGGCTGTAAAAAAAATTTTTTAAAAATAACTTATCTGTAAAAGTTTGTAAGAACTTACGGTTGTCTTTAAAAAAAATGAGAACTTGTCCTAAATAGTTTTGAAGCAAAAGAAAAGAAAACGAAATTATCAACATTTATGATTTCTTCCCATTGTTTGATTAAAATTTGTGTGGTCATAGTCATATGCAGGTGAAATCAACCAGCGATGAAAATGTCATGTAATAAACTAACGATACATATTATATTATATATAGGATTTTGCAATGACAGGGATTATTATAATTGATAGACATTGCCATATTCCACATCTATTTTAATTGTTTTAACATCATCTTTTTCATGAATTTACCAAATTTATATTAAACAATGTATCCATTTTAAAAAAAATTGTAGAATTTGTAGGCCTGTGTCTGCAAAATTTGGAAGATTTATTTTAAAATATAAAAGTAAATATTATGTTAATATTAATATTAATATTCATTGAGTTTGCAACCCTGCCTCCTTGTCACATGGCCAAGATGCATGATGATATGGAGTTTAGATCAGAGGCGTAGCGAGGGTGTTTGGCGCCCGGGGACAAGATTCGCGCCCGGGGACAAGATCCATTTTAAAGCGCCCCTTTTTCTTTTTTTCAACTCTCAAGCCCATTATTTTCATCGATAAAATAATATCAAAGCACATTTTGGGGCCCCTAACTACCTGGCGCCCGGGGACTTCTGTCCCTCCCTGCCCCCCACCTCTGGTTTAGATGAGATATTTTTCACAATGTGTCCAAACACCATGATCATGTTATCAATCTATTTTTAATTATGATAAAATTGAACAAATATAATGGATCATGTTATCAATCTATTTTTAATTATGATAAAATTGAACAAATATAATCTAGTTTTACTTTTAGTAGAAGTTAAAATCATCTTCTTAATAACCTTAAGTCTTAAGGTTTAGGTATCAGTTAGTCCATCCAATAAATTTACAATCAATAAATAAGGACCTACTAATTAAAAGAATAATCTAATTAAATTTTAAAATAACTTTAAAATATATAAATATAACACTTACTTTAATTTAAAGTCAATAAATTCGTAGGCCTATACTTTCCTATAATATAAATAAAGTAAAGCACACTCAATTTTAGACATTGATAAATCTAATCCAAAGCCTCACATCAATGGCTCAGTCGTAACGTTTAAGCTCTAGTTAGTATGTAAGCTTTAATTAGGCTTAATATTAAGACTATCTTAACTAACTAACTTACTTAACTTAGGAAGGCTAAAAGGCCAAGGCTGCGGTAGGCAATTACTTAATTCTATATACATAATAATTTCTGCTTAAATTATTTTAAGTAAAATATAGGCCTACCAAAATAAGCGTATAACAATTTTGGTTTTACGATAGTTTCTTTGATAAACTATTCAATAATTTATTTTGTAAGAAGATAACCTACAATATTAATGGATCTCGCCATTTTGACACATTTAATTGCCCATAGCAACACCCCTGTCACAGGTATATGTCAAATAAACGGCAACCCTCGATTTCTGTTTTTGCTTATAAGTCTGCGTGAAAACAAATAGATCTTTCATGAGATCTTTCAGTAAATATCTTTATTTAATTTTAGAAGCATTTTATTCCGTGATTTTTTATTGTTGATAATTCATCATAGGTGACATATTTTATAGTCATCATAAATCTAGCAGTATGAAATAATGATTGACATTATTATATAGTGTAGACTATTTTATTGCCACTATCATTCGATTCATTATCATCCGAGCTTGGGTCAAATGGACTCATTTGGTCATGGAAAATATTTAATAAAGTAAATTTAATGTAAATATAACTATAATTTGTGAGCCCTGGACATTAACAGCAGAACTTGAAAGAAAAATAAAGGCGATGGCGATGGAGATGAGATTAATGTTTCAGAAGCATTATTGGAATCTGCTATAGAGAACATATCCCTAACGAACAAGTGAAAGAAAGGATTCTTCAAGCAATTGGTGACTAAAAAGCGTAAACTGGAATGGTATGGCTACGTGATAAGAAAACAAGGATTCGCCAAAGAAATCATGCAGGGCACAACGAGAGGAGGGAGAAGAAGAGGAAGACATAGAAAAAGATGGGAAGATAACATCAAAGAGTGGACGGACTAAACTAGGCGATGCTTTGCGAAGTGCAGAAAACAAAGAGGAATGGAGGATAGTTCTCATGTCATCTGTGGCGCCCCAACTGTTCAAGGACTGAGGTACATGATGATGAACTATAACGTGACGTTGTTACCTCTTCTTGTATATTTTGAGGGCCCACGATCAATGTATTGATCACTCTGGCTCATATAAATTTTTAAATACAGTTCTTAAATACATTTACCTCTTGACCATTAATTAATTAGTTTTTGTTATTGTCACTGTTATACTGTGGACTTATCTGGTCTTATCTTAACAATAACAAATCCATCTTGGAAGTCGTGGGAGGGGTAGGGTGACACCCTACGTTTACCGCACCAGGTGACACCGACCCTAGCTACGCCACTGCATCAAGTTAAGTCTCTCCGGCAGTAGCAGTGGGGAGGAAAATTTGAGTAAATTTCAGACCATTAGCTTCCAAATGGATTCTTTTATGTCAAGCTTCAGAATGCCAAGTAGTCAAATAGTGGTCAGATGAAACACTTCAAAGACGTCCCCAGTGACTTAACAGTTAGCATTCAACATCAAAGATTGGAGCCTCTGGAAATCTGAAGGCTCCATGTTGGCCAAGTTCAAAAGCTGAACTGCCGCAGAGCTCAAGAGGCAATACAGAAAAGCATGTGCCCTAATCGCTCCTTGGGATTTTCTATTGATCCTTAGTGCCTTCATTACCCCACTACCAAGTCCCAGAAACCTTATGTATACTCATTAGAATGTTTTTGTTTTAATGATGAAGGCATTTGCGGAAACATTTGCATTTGTATTCTGTGTCACCATTATTAGAGCTTAACCTACATTGTTTTATTTACCCTATACAAATTGTTTGTGTCTCATTAATCAGACGACCAGAGTGCCCCTCAACAAACTCATGTCCTAATCCCCTTTTCTGGAATATGTAACTTTTATCGAGCAAATGACTAATTAAACTAAATGTAAAATATTTGTAAAAATTTATTGTGATTATTGATTTTATATGTAAAAAGTCCTGAGAAACAAATTATCCACATTGTTAAGGAAATCAATTATTTAAAGAAATATTTCAGTTAAATAAATAAAAGAAATCAAATACAGTAAAATGACCTTTATTTCAATAATGCAAACAATCAGCAGAATTAATGACTTTGAAACGACATGCTTAATACATAAATCACACAGGCAGATGGTAATCAGGCTTTAATTACTTCAATGCCAAAGTTGTTATGATCAAATATCAAGTCATTTGAATAAGCATTAAATTTTTTGCTCATAGTCAAATACACGAATGGCAGCCCCCTTCAATGATCAATTCATAAAAAGTTGTTTTGGATGTTTATGAAAGAAGAGATATAATGCTACATATAAGAAAAATCACATTACTGTTGTGTCAAATTGGAAACATGTTTCCCATAAACCATACAGTAGTGAATCTAACACCCACCCCTCCCCTCCCATATTTTACTGACTGACACCGGAAGGCTTCGTCAAAGTGAACATAATTTAAACCACTTTAAAAAAAATAAAAGCATGTAGCGGCGTCACTAGGGGTGTGCTGGCCGCACCGGGTGCGACACCTGGGGGTGCCAACTTTAAAAATTTAATTTACTGATAAAATATTCTTACTCTCAATTTTTAAGTTCAAATTTTTATAGTAATGTTTTTGAAGCTATGGAGCTAAAGAAAATCCCCCCACCAAATATCTATGTCACCATATTTCTATGTCATGTACCACATCAAATATCAACAAATAATTTCTATTACTATGACTCTAAATGTCAACAAATAATTTTATTACTATGACTCTAAATGTCAACAAATAATTTCTATTACTATGACGCTATGTCATTTGAAAACTTAATTAAGACATGAGCCTATTTTAAGTGTCAGCTTATTGTATGACATTCTAAACAGTCGTATTTTCATGAGTATAAAAGTTTAAAGCAAGCTTCAAAAAATGTTTGTACAATGTCTCATTTTTGTTTACAGACATCCTTAAGTTCTTAAGACAAACGCCACTTTAGGTCTTATTTTATTGGACTGATTGTAAATTTATGGACGGTTGTCAACCTTGGTGACTTGAAATGTGACAGAGTTTGCTCAGGGCCGGTTTCATAACATGGCTAAATTAAATACTAGACCTGGATGCCACCGAAACTGAGGGCCTCAAGAACAGGTTACCACAAGTTGAGGGTGTCATCAGAGCATTTTTCCATAGCTTAAGTTTGTGACACTCTGAGCGGGTCATGATTTAGCGGCATTTACTGGAAATTCCCAGAATATCTCACAATCCTCTGATTAGGGCTAAAATTATTTCTCACGATATTTGGCTTCATGTAAAAAAAAAAAAGCTTTTTTTTCAATAATGAAACTTATAACATTTTCTAACATAAAACAGTGCAGTCTTTCTTGTCTTGCAATATTGTCAGTTGAAAGAGAATAAGGTGAAGAATGCTGATTTTGATGTAGTAATTGACAGGTTTGCCTCTTTGAAGACCAGGAAAGTAAAGCTTTACTGTTAAGCTTAATGATTTTAATGTTTCAATAAAAATCAATATTTTTGCAATTTTAAACGTAATCACCTCAAATTCTATGTTGCTTCTTATTTCTCTTTTTGCTTCAGGACTTAACTTTAAAACAATACGGTATGCTATTATGAATGATATGGTTGAGAATTACATGGTGCAGGTTGCAGGTAGAGGAGAATTTTGTGTAGAAAAAAGGGGAGGGGGCCACACCATGAGTTTACCGCACCGGGTGACACCAACCCTAGTGATGCCTCTGCAAACATGTACCAAATTAACAGATTGAAAATAATTCCATTAATGTCACCTTTCCTTTCCATAACTTAAACTTAATTTTTTTTTTCAAACTCCTAATTTTTATTTAAAAATTTAATTTTAAAATTATGTGGTGTTAAATATATTTGTATGCAATGTAAATGATTAGAAGTAGTTATTTATTTATTTATTTAGGCATTTTTATATAGCGCTTATCATAAAGCTCTAAGCGCTTTACAATTATTAAAACATGTAAACTAAGTAAATACAAATGAGACACTAGGATAGTAACTACTATTCTATAGAAACAATGAAAATGGCTATAAAAAGAGGACACTTTGACACTTCAGGATTAAACCGAAACAGAAAATTAGGTAGGGCAAGGAGGGTGCATCACAGGTCATAGGCGGACCTAAACAGATGAGTTTTAAGGGACTTTTTGAAAATGGACGAGGTTTCACTATGACGTATATGGAAGGGGAGCTGGTTCCAGAACGTGGGCCCATGGAAGCAGAAGGAGCGTTCACCGATGGTCTTAGTTTTAGATGGTCTTAGTTATCATACCAAATGAATGCTATGACTGCTCAATGAGACCTGCATCTAAATTTGAAATTATATAATTTCAGAATTTAATATTAAAAGATATCATAATATATTTCTAATGAGATATAACCTACTTATTATTTCCTTTCACTGAAAACATGTAGACCAATAAATTTATTTTACTTCCAGCAGTTACAGGCAAGGCATATATTTTTATCTGGTTTCCTTTTACAAAAAAGAGTAATGGGATTTAACTTGGGTAAAGGGTCTGCGTTTCTCAAATTAAACATTATTTTCCAGATGGAAAATTTAAACAAAGTGTGCCAAAAGATCTCATGGATGACCATCTGTTTAAAAAAAAAATCTCTATGCCAAATTGTCACCCGCTGCATTCATTATTTGAAAACTGTCATTGCTTCAATGTTATGATTGATAAAAGAAAGTGGGAATGACATCAGAGTGGAACCACATGTTTGTCTTCAGTGTCATCTAGGAAGAGCACACTAAAAATGTCATTCACAAAAAATGGATGGTATTTACAAGCTCTTGCACAGTCTGGGCTAAAGTTGACCTCACAAATCATTGGCTGGATCACTTTTTCACCTGCAAGACACAAAATAAATGAAAAGACCAGTCAGTTCATGAATTTGCCATATCAGGTTTACAATTAATTACATCATTTTAAATACAGTTGGGGTCTCATAGTCCAAATGCCCTAGAACTTCAAAAACTTGGATCCTGAATGAAAATATCTAGTTAATATTTATTTGAAATCCAAATGAAAGAATTTTTAATTTCCCCAGTGCTCAGGCAAATAATTTCCCCAGTGCTTGAGCCAATAATTTCCCCAGTGTTATGGCCACTGCTCAATGGTATGTTATATTTTCATTTCTATTGTTGGCTGAGGAAGGCTTTGTGCCGAACATCCTTGTTTTTTGTCCTGTTATCTTATTTCAAGCTTCCACATACCTCGTTTTGCTATTTCATTCATTTACTAAGCTTGAAAGCAGTCCTTTCATTTATATTTACAAAATCTGGTCTGTTACTCTGGTACAAAATCTGGCCTGTTACTCTGGTACAAAATCTGGCCTGTTACTCTGGTACAAAATCTGGCCTGTTACTCTGGTACAAAATTTGGCCTGTTACTCTGGTACAAAATCTGTTCTGTTACACTGATGCAAAGTCTTACCAGTTACAAAGGTGATATTTAAAAGGTGTATTTTCTTTATTGATGCACACATGAGTAATTTAGTGAATCAAATACCTGTAGGTTTTTTGTCCCATGCCAACATTAGATCTACAGCATACATGGCTCTTGATTGAGGTGATTGCCCGATACCTTGGGGGGCTGGGAGGGCAGTGGCAGCTTGGAAAAGTTCTTTAAACATCCTGAATATATCATTCTGTAATACAACAAGCAAAGTTATCAACACATATTCGCTGCTAGTTTTTAAAATAAAATATTTATTTAAGGAAGTTCATAACAAATTTCAACAAAATGAATAAAAAAATTGTTAAAATAATTAGAGAGTAAGACATTTATTGACAAGAAAACTTAAGTGTAGAAATAAAACTAAGAAAGCTTACTGAATATTAAAAGGTTATATTTAAAAAAAAACTGACCTCGACATCTTGCCATTGAAATTCAGGGTACTGGCGTTCAAACTCCGGGATGAACTCATTGTAGTGGACTTGCTTTAGTTTGGTGTCGGCACCTTCCACATAGTTCATCACAGTGAAATGTTTCTCATAATCATAGAGGGATGTCAAGGAGTACGGCCTGGATTACAGATGGTGATGAAACTCATTAAAAACCAAATGTATCAATGATTATAATTTAAGAGGCAAACGTGTTGATAATGAACTGAATGAATCGGTCATGAAGATGACGTTACTTTATGGATACGATACCCTGGTACAGGAGGGGACCATTAAACATACTGAATGAGATATAGAAATAAAATAATAGTAAACCCAAAGCTGGAAATATTTAAGTAAAAAATTAAGAAATTCTTTTCTATGGGGGGGCACAGGTTGAGACAAACCTAACTCAACAGCTAAAGATTTCTCTTAAATTACAGGTTTAAATAACAACCAATGGACAAATAAGATCAGACGATGACAATGGACAGAGAAACCATGAAATCGGAGTGTCCTACGATGACATGGTACATTCATATGATGATACATGACAGTCATGCAGTGACCTGGGACAGTCTTAAGCGTTAGTGCAAACCAGGACAGGTCAAGTGTAGTAGCAAGGGTTAGTGCCATCCAGGGCAGATCAAGAGTTTTTCCACCCCACTTTCACCAAAAAAAACCTCTGCAACTGGCAGATAATCCCGCCCACCCATATAAAGTAAAATGTACTGCCCGGCGAGGACTGCCTCTTCCTTCCAACGCCCCTGAATATGTTACATCATAGTAAAACAACATGAGAAAAAATGAAGAATAATTTTTAAAAATTATTTTAGGACTTACTTATTGGCAAATCTAAGCCAAAAAACCTTCATATGATGATACATGACAGTCATGCAGTGACCTGGGACAGTCTTAAGCGTTAGTGCAAACCAGGACAGGTCAAGTGTAGTAGCAAGGGTTAGTGCCATCCAGGGCAGATCAAGAGTTTTTCCACCCCACTTTCACCAAAAAAAACCTCTGCAACTGGCAGATAATCCCGCCCACCCATATAAAGTAAAATGTACTGCCCGGCGAGGACTGCCTCTTCCTTCCAACGCCCCTGAATATGTTACATCATAGTAAAACAACATGAGAAAAAATGAAGAATAATTTTTAAAAATTATTTTAGGACTTACTTATTGGCAAATCTAAGCCAAAAAACCTTCATATGATGATACATGACAGTCATGCAGTGACCTGGGACAGTCTTAAGCGTTAGTGCAAACCAGGACAGGTCAAGTGTAGTAGCAAGGGTTAGTGCCATCCAGGGCAGATCAAGAGTTTTTCCACCCCACTTTCACCAAAAAAAAAACTCTGCAACTGGCAGATAATCCCGCCCACCCATATAAAGTAAAATGTACTGCCCGGCGAGGACTGCCTCTTCCTTCCAACGCCCCTGAATATGTTACATCATAGTAAAACAACATGAGAAAAACATGAAGAATAATTTTTTAAAATTATTTTAGGACTTACATATTGGCAAATCTAAGCCAAAAAACCTGGTAGGCATATATCTGTAGAGGTTCAACACTTGTCAAGAGAACGATGTAGCGAATGTCAAACTTGACTTGAGCTTGAACATCAGAGCGATAGAACAGGACGGGATTCTCAATGTATTTACATGCCACCTGAAACATGGCAGTGGATGATACATGATAGCTGGAGGCTCAGATAAAATTAATAGCTTAACTTAGATTATTAAATAGTAGACCCTTATAACTAATTAATTAAAATAGGAGATACTAAGAACTACGGTATGTGCAAATGTATAAGTCTAGAAATTTTAGTCGTATACTTTATTTTAAAATGGTGAGTCGACTTATCCATGTGTCAGTGCTAATTTCGAATGTGAGGCAATGTTGAGCTACCGGTAGTGCTAGTTTACTTACTGGTAGATTTTTCAGACATTTCGCTGCACTGTACACTAAACTATGGCTGGGATGAGTCAATCATACACCGGCCATGGTTAAGAATACATTGCAGCAATTTCTGCTAGGTAAAATCTGACAAAATTATAAAAATCCAAGAATTTCATAGCTCCTCAACTTTAAACCTCCACTTGTGCACAACTCAAAGCTTATTAAATAATTGGTGAAAAAACTGACCTCGACTTATAGACGAGTAAATACGTTAGTTTATTTAAAACTGTATTTGAAACAAAAAAAGTGAAGTGCTCACAGTGAATCTTTAAAAATAAAAAGATAAATTAATTTATCTAATCGAAAGCTTTTAATTTTTTTGTCCAGATTTAATCTTAATGAAAAGAAATACATGAAATTAAATTTTTTTGTCCAGATTTAATCTTAATGAAAAGAAATACATGAAATTAAATTTTTTTGTCCAGATTTAATCTTAATGAAAAGAAATACATGAAATTAAATTTTTTTGTCCAGATTTAATCTTAATGAAAAGAAATACATGAAATTAAATTAACAAATATGTAAGAAATCAGTATTCAATTGTAAAGATTAAAATCCAACCTTTGGTCCCGAATCTGGCAGGCGGACAATCTGTTTAAGATTCTTTGTGACATAGGTATCAAGACTTCGGGCCAAGTTCCATGGTTTGCAAATCCAATGATTATCAAGATCTCTGGAAAATATGGGCAAACATCGTTAGAATTTTAATCTAAAAGTTTTAAGACAAATATAAAATTATGTCTCAATATTCTTCTGACTTTGATAAATCTTTTAGCCATAAGTTGCCAATCAGTGAAGAATGGTAAAATTTATGCTACTAATTAATCTAATTAATCTAACTACTAATTAAGTATTAAGAACACTTAAGAATGAAAACAGTCATTTTGACCATGTAGTTAATTATCAATAGACCTGGTCTATTCATTTTTTCAAAGTACTGAAAAGCCAAGTAACAGATCTCTTGACGATAGGATTGCACACTTAAAAGATTTTTCCCCTTTACCTTTTTTCTCTATGCTGGTAAAATGAGACAAACTTTGCGAGTTCTGTTTTCAGATTGTACGTAACCGGTAGCCATTTTGGATTGGATGCCAGGGGATCATCTGCGTCAGGGGTTGCCGCTCTGCGTGCAACAATCGCCATCATATCTTTGACAGTGACAACATTCTCACAGGGAAACTGATTGATCAAACAACCTGGCTTAGTCTGACTCAATTCTCTGTATCAAGAGGAAATTTCACAAACACATTGAAAAAAAACTATGCTTTAAAAATTTCAAGTTAGTTAGTTTATATCAATGTAGTATTAGTTTATATCGATGTAGTATTAGTTAGTTTATATCAATGTAGTATGGAGTCTTTTTAGTAGCAATTACAAGAAAATTGCACATAAAATTGTTAGTCATCAGAGAAAGGAACGTTTCAAATTGTATAAGTATTTGAACTCTTAAACATTTTCATTTCAATTCATAAATTTAAAAATTTAACATGCCTATGTTTAATAATTAAACAACTAAACAATCATTTTTCTTTTTTTGTTTTTAAAACCAGCTATTCTGAATATTTGAGTTTTGATATGGAACAAGAAATAAGTAAGGGATTACCGTAACAATTATTTTTATAAACTCACAGAAACTCATGAAAGTGACGAAAATACCAAAGTACATCAGCTTGATCTGGGGATTCCACAACTTCAAACCTGGGGTCAGTTAAATGTTCAATAAATTCCCTGTATTCAATGAAGACCTTAACATTTCTGTCTTTGGGTAAACCAGGAAACTCAAAATCTGAAGATGGTAAAGTTTCATTCAGTCGGTAGCTCTGAAAATAAATGATGAATTTTGCCTAAAAATAAATACAAATGTAAAGAAAATTTCAAAAATAGTTATTTGTAAAAACAAAAATCTTGAAATAACTCATTTTTACATCAATATTTAAGTGTGTACCAGGATATGACTTACAGCAAAGTGCTCAACACCTGGTTCCTTTTGACTATAACTAAGGTCACTTAAGTCTACTGGCTGCCAGGGAATCAGTTTTGCTTGTCTAACAGCAGGATTTATTTCTCCTTCCAGGTAATCTCTTGTTGCTTCATCTAAATGATTAAACAAAAATATTTTTTTAAACAAAACATTATACATTGGCACACTTTTGGGAAAATACACTCTTACTGTAAATGATAATGACTCCATTACCTTTAGTATGGCCTCTATGGATGTGTTAGAATTGTGACATTTAGCCATTAATTAAGGAATGTGTAATGCTAAACATAATAAATTTATGTTATTTAAAAAAAAATTAAGTCTATACAATAGTTTATTTTTATATGTGTCTTTGATTAGATTAGCCATGTTACTGTTTTTTGGGGTTTAGAATCTATTCCATTTTGTCAGGCAACTTCCTTACATGTAAGATTTCTGGTACATACTGTGATAGGTTACAATGCCCTAGAGGATGGGTTGCAGTGCCCTAGAGGATGGGTTACCAATGCCCTAGAGGATGGGTTGCAATGCCCTAGAGCAGCGTTTCCCAAACTTTTAAGTTTCACGGACCAGTGGACAATTTTGGAAACTGCACCAGCGACTGGTGCCAGATTTATTCATTACATTTTCTTTCTATTTAAACATCAATATTCATGCTCTCTGGACCAGTAACATAAGGCTTGCGGACCGGTGCCGGTCCACGGATCACCGTTTGGGGAACACCGCCCTAGAGGATGGTTTACAACAATACCATAGAGGATGGGTTACAATGCTCTAGAAGACGGCTTCTGCACCTTTAAAGATACTTCATATGATTATAACACATTTTAATTACATTTTCAAAAGTTATAGTGAAGGTATGTTACATACATAAGTCAATTTATGTTAAAGTTGGAAAAAATTGTTGAATGTTTTAAATATTACTTCACTGTATAGTTTTGCTGTAGCATAAAGATGTTCTGTAGTTTCTCTCACTTTTTAATTTTTTTGTTCAAGCTTTACAAAGAAAATCTATGACTCCATTTTTCTCCATCATATAACTGTATTGCCCTGGATCTATCTGAGGACTAATTCTCATGAACCAAACCTTGCCTTGGCTGCAGCACGGCTGATGTATAATAAAGTAATTGATCCTTTCTTGATCCAAACCTTGCCTTGGCTGCAGCCCGGCTGATATATAATAAAGTAATTGATCCTTTCTTCATCCAAACCTTGCCTTGGCTGCAGCCCGGCTGATGTATAATAAAGTAATTGATCCTTTCTTCATTCAAATTGCACTTCGTTTCATTCATGTTACAAATGTTCACTTGGAATAAATGAATTAAAATGTTATTTTTTGAAACTGTTAAATCTTAATTAAACATTTTCAATTTATTTATTTACATGTGTGTGTGGCACATGTGTTGCATATGCATGTTGCATATGCGTGTGTGGTAAGTGCAGATCTATTATCATCTGAGAATTATGTGCATAAAGTATAAATACATAATAAATGAAGGACTGCGTTCACGCTGTGTGAAGGAAATATTGGAACAAGGTATACCAAAGCTTGAAATATAAAGACAGGACAGAGAAAGGAGAATGTTTCGATTCAAGAGTCTTCTTCAGCAGACAGGAGAAAACAAAAAACAACAAGAAATAGAAAACAGATTAAAATAATTTAAGTTTTGAGTGTTCACCATTTATGCTATGAAATTGCCAGAAGATGGGTTTTCCAAGACAGAAATATGTCTGATAACCAAAAGATTACAGGGAGTAAAAGAATTTATGCTTCATTAATGTTAAAAATAACATTTTAACATGCAAAAATATTTTTGAAATTTGTAAAATATTAGAAATAAGAAAAGAAATACAGGAAATTGAGGATCACTAGTAGGAGGTTGGTTCCATATGGTGCAATTGTGCAGAAAATGTGAATTAATTTTTCCTTCCTAACTAAATAAATAATTATGTACATTGTCTATTTGGTGTTTTTTTATTTATTATGTGTAATGACATGCTGCCTGAGAAGAGCTGAATAGCAATACAAAATGGCCCTAGAAGCCATTTGGGTTTACCACCCTCGCCTTTGCTAAACAAATTTATATTTGCTGGAGTGACCATATACTAACTTGACACTTATCTCACCTCCTGTCTCTGTATCTTTGATAGGCCACATAATGGAGTAAGCCAACCCAGTTCCAGAAAAGAAGAATGGAACCACACGAAAATTTGGGTCATCCGAATGGCGTATGCGACTACCGAATTCATCCATAATATACCACCTCGGGAGCGCATCATCCGATCCCTGTAAACATAAAAATAATTTAATTCAAGGAAAGGGTTACAATACTTCTATTTATAATTAAACATGACTAATACAACGACTATACATCAATCTATGTGTATTTCAATTATAATCATTGCTCAAACTAGCGGAGAATTACAATGGGGAAACTATTTCACTGAGGTTCCCTTAGACTTTGTCTAAAGCAGAAGAAACTCTCAAAAATCAACAATGAGCTTTCAGAGCAAACCAAGGAACAAGAGACATGATATTTGTTCACTAACAAATAGTGAGCATAGAATTTCTTACTATCATGGGAGATAATCGTAACCCTAAAGCAGTCGTATTTATAGCTGGCTGTGCAAAGAAAATCAAAATATATGAGTTGACAGCAAGTGCTACAAAGATCTGCTCAAATGTCACCTGGCATCAGTTGGGCAAAAGAGACAGCAAGTGCTACAAAGATCTGCTCAAATGTCACCTGGCATCAGTTGGGCAAAAGAGACAGCAAGTGCTACAAAGATCTGCTCAAATGTCACCTGGCATCAGTTGGGCAAAAGAGACAGCAAGTGCTACAAAGATCTGCTCAAATGTCACCTGGCATCAGTTGGGCAAAAGAGACAGCAAGTGCTACAAAGATCTGCTCAAATGTCACCTGGCATCAGTTGGGCAAAAGAGACAGCAAGTGCTACAAAGATCTGCTCAAATGTCACCTGGCATCAGTTGGGCAAAAGAAAGCACCTGGAACTGCATGGACAAACAGAGGTCCTTAATAAAAATAGTAATAGTAAAACTCCATCTTGGATGTACTCATGAACAACTTATGCAGAGAAACAGGTCTGAATATTTAAGTCATTAAAAGACTGTGTAATAGCTTATTATTATTGTTATTACTATTATTGTTCGTCCTTCGCACACGAAGATGACCCAGGCTTCAACTTGAGTAGTAGCCGGGACATGAACTTTGTTTTGTTTAAAGTGTGGGAGAGTTGCTCAATTCCTCAGACGCACTTTCTCACCCTTCCCTATTTTTTCCAATGGCAAGACAACTGGAAATAGACCAGGATACAGTAGATGACCAGCAGTGTTTTTTAGTGCGTTTCACTGTGCTCTTTAAGAGTTCCTTGTCGCAGAATTAGCCGTAATTATTTTAATATCATACCAATTACGGGACTCCATTTCCGGGTTTGAACACGGAGTCTTCCATCTCTTATGTTTTAGTTTGACTACGCTTTTGCTGAGGATGGAACTCCAATCTACAAGTTTGGGATTGGCTCAGCTTAGACCATCCCGGCCACTTTGTAATAGCTTAAGAATATGACCAGACGCAAAATATAAGAATAATGAAGCTTAACAAGTTAATGATCCTTTTAGCAAGAAGCCATCTTTAGTAGACATTATCCACAACAGGTAAAATAACACGACATGACATGTAGTAGTCTACCTACTTGTTAAGTATGACTCCTCCCTTTATTACAAACCACTTACCATGGCAAAGTTTCCAAATCTATAGGTCTGGTTATATCTGGTTGAGATAAGAAGAAACAAAGTATGTGGTTAGTTTTATCCTATTCCTAAACTGTTGATTTATTTGAAGAAGAAATTAATGTAATAGCGAGAAGCTTTTATGCAATATCAGTTACAGATTTTCTCTGCCAATGAAATTTAAAAAAATTAATTGAACAAAAAAATTATTTTAAAAAAACGTAAAACATCAAAAGTTTCTATCATTATGAAAACATTACACATTCCTATCACAATAAAAACATTACACGTTCCTATCACAATGAAAACATTACATGTTCATATCAAAATGACAAAAGAACAATTTCTGTAAGTATTTAAACTCTTAATAGCTCTATTATCCTCAAAACTTACTGCCACATGGTGTCTAAAATAATGTCTATTAATTCCTCTTGACTTTGTCCATTTTCTTGAATATCCATCAACCCAGTCATTCGCTGCACAAGTCCAGGAACTTCTTTAAGAGCTGCATAAGCATCGGTACTGCTGTAGGTCCAGGCGTGGTCAATGAGATAAATGCTGGAAGAAAAGAAAAAAATTAGTAGAAAGTAAACTTGCTTCATTTTCATTTTACAAATTAAGAAAATATAATTGAAAATATTCTGGTTATAGAAAAAACAGGAACAATACTTCAGTTTTGTCGTTCCAAAGTTTAGAACAATGTAATCAAATCAATTATAAATACCAGTATCTAAAATCTGAAATCTGTTCCAAACATTAGAAGAATGTAATCAAATCAATTATAAATACCGGTATCTAAATCTGAAACCTCCACAAGCATAAATATTTAAATTACAACAGGAGCTATTACTGCGTTTACTCTTATATATTTAAAATAAAAATTTAGCTACTTTTGTGTCATTTATGCAAATTTAACCATTATGACTATATACAAATTTAACCATGACTATATACAAATTTAACCTTAATGGCTATATGCAAATTTAACCATAATGACTAATAGTCTTAATTTAGTTTTAAGTCACCATTTAGTGAAAAAAACCAACAAATTGCTTAATTAATATTTAATATTACAAGGTGGGCTAAAAAGTGATACTGTTGTATCTGCTAAATGCTTTCTAATTTTGCAGTTATTTGTCACCAGAAGATAATTGCAAAATGACATCAAAGTCAGAGTAGGTACATATGCTGACAAAATTTTTTTATTTTGCCCATTTTAAAAATGAGAAACAAATTATTTATACTTTTATTGGGTTGCCTAAGTCTCACTTTTTTGGGTCCACCCTGTGTATTGGTCATTCCAATTGCTTACTGCTGTGGGTCATTTAATTGTAAGGGTGATGTAGCACAGATACTCCAGTGGAATCCAGTTGTATCTCCATTATCATTAGTGTGGAGAACTTGTTGCATTTGAAATTTCGTCCCAGCATCATATGACTTAAATCAAAATTTTTTAAAGGAGATGGAAGAGTAAATTATTGATAGTAGCTAGCTCTCATCTCAGTAAATGTACAAATCAATACACATCCCTTGCTGACCAATGGGGAAGGGGGGGGGGGTGTGGGAGATCACCCCTCCCTGCCTTACAGGATTAAAGGAGATGGAAGAGTAAATTAGTGATCGTAGCTAATTCTCATCTCAGTAAATGTACAAATCAATACACATCCCTTGCTGACCAATGGGGAAGGGGGGGGAGTGTGGGAGATCACCCCTCCCTGCCTTACAGGGTTAAAATACTAAATATTAAGAGAGAAAATTAGAGAATGAAAATTCTCGTAAGTAGGGCCAGTGTATGTGGTAAGATGAAGAGTAAGGGATGTTGGACAGTAGCAGGGGGTAAGTTTAGATATGGAAAAGGGTATGTTATAAGAAGTTAGGGAAGGATGATGATTAGGAGATGATCAAACTATGTAAGAGGGAAAAAGAAGTATGAGAGACAGCAATAAAGCTTAAGAAAGTAAATTTAAAAAACAAAAATCAAGGGGACATAAAAAATTACAAAATTTTGGGCAATATGATATAATTGAGTATGACTTCTTCAGCAGATTAAACAAACAGTGTTTGGTTGAAATATTCAATGATATTTGTAAGTCATCATTCATATCCTGTTTTTAACTCATGTCTTGTATCCTTTAGGGCAACTACAGCTATTAAGTACTTTAGTAAACTATTGAGTTAAAAAAATGGCTTTTCATTGCAGTGCCAGTGGTGGGCAAAAGAGTGACAACACATTGATGGGTCATCATCAACTTCAAGCATGGATGTATCTAGCGTGTTTGTACCTTTGCACCTGCCCTCCCCTTAAACCTAACTCGGTAAACCCGGCTAGGCTAAGCTATTTAAGTTAAGCAATTTAATTTTGAAATATTTTTATTTCTTAAGTTCGTAAGTGATATTTAGATTTAGATTAGTACTCTTCTTAGACTTAGTTGCAAACTGAAATCTGAAAGGCTAATTCACATCATAATCAAATGTCACACGGAGTATATTTCTTATTTATATGTAGACATGTATCCTTAAAAGAAGATGGGGTAAAATTACAACTTGAGCGTCAGTTATTAAATAAACATGTTGATAAATTTGAAGTGCTATATTTAAACATTTATTCATCTATTGATAAAATGAAATTCTTTTACTGATCCTAATAAATGGAAATATTTTTTAAGCCTTTGTTCATTTCAGAGCATAGGCCTACATAAAAGACACAAAAATTTAAAATGGACAAATTAAAACAATGTAATAATTTTTCAAATAGAAAAATTGTAACAAATTAATTATTAATGTAAGAAAAGAAAACAGAGTTTGAGTTTATATCATCTCCATGAAAACGATTGCAGACATGAGCTATCTATGCAAATATAAGCTTTTGCGAAACTATATTTTCAGTTTGCGCTTTACGGACATCAATATATTTTCAGTTTGCGCTTTGCGGGCATCATCAATATATTTTCAACATTCTTTTTGTGGCTCCAGCATCAAATGTCGGTCTGACACTTAAATGAGAAAACAGGGCCCACTCTCTCTTTCTATGACTATATCATCATGCCTATGCCACCAAATGGTGACCGAAAACCCAGTCCGAGTGGCCAGTAACGGACATATCCCTTTAAAATTTAAATAGTTAAAATAGCACTTCAAACTGTAACTTACCTCTTCTAATACTACCAACTTGTGGTAAAGGGTATGCCAGTATAATTCAGGTACACCGGAATTAACAAGCTGATTTTGATGGAGTTCAACAAATTTGGTAAATAACAAAACAGGTGTTTCGGAGTTTTGGTTGGATTCATCATTAGAGATTGACATTTCAAAAATTTAACTTTGCACCTTTACTTTTATTTAGAGCTGATGGTCCGAGCTAATCTTAGTGTCCAACAATAATTATCTCTAAATTAATATATTTTTTAAGCACGTGAAACTAAATTTTAAAAATAAATAGAGAACATTTTCCTTCAAGAAGAAGCACTCTGGAAATCTTTATACAAACCATTAAGAGTTATTCCTAAAAAACACAAGATTTCCCCCCACGCTTCCCTCCCCTTTTCCCAATTTATTAAATTGTGGCAAACTTCACATTATTAGGTGTTACGCTTCATAACAATCACACTAATATTATACGGTATCGCGTGAGAGAAAAAAAAACACATTTGGTCAGAGGCGTAGCGAGGGTGTTTAGCACCTGGGGACAAGATTCGCGCCCAGGGACAAGATCCATCTTAAAGCGCCCCCTTTTCTTTTTTTCAACTCTCAAACCTATTATTTTTACCAATAATATAATATCAAAGCACATTTTGGTGCCCCTAACTAGCGTGCGCCCGGGGACATCTGTCCCCCCTGCCCCCACCTCGCTACGCCTCTGCATTTGGTTTATATATATAGACTATATATATATCAACTGCTGGTGTGGGAATTCAACGTTTGATATTCAACACCGCATAAACCGACTAATGAAGAAAGCTAGGAACATAACACAAACTAAGCATCCTATACTGGAAAAACATTTTGAAGAAGGATGTTATTGTAAAACTTAACATTTTGGATGATAGCCTATATCCCACCCTCTTCATCACAGATACTTAGGATCGGCCTGTTCGGGACGAATTCCTTCCATCAGGGTGAGGACTGAAGATATAAAAATTCTTTTGTTCCCCAATCTGTACGAATTTACCAGCGTGCTCCCCCAGATGTCACAAATCTAAATGAGAACTAATAAGTCCCTGATATGGCTATGAGAACTCAGGAATGGCTGCTAGTGAAAAAATGTATTACAAATGTCTTGTGTTCAAATTGTTTTTTATATGTCCTGAAAATGTACAGTGCAATCATAAAACATTTCAATTTGTATGGATCAATAAAAGAATCTTATCTTAACTTATTTAATCTTATTATATATATACATATTTATATATATAGTCGATGTTGACGGACGAACATAATGTTGTTGTTCGTACGTCAAAACGGACTAGGAACATCCAGTCACCCGGTTAGGGGGGGTGGGGAGGGTGGGTTACGGTACGGACGAACATAATGTTGTTGTTCGTACGTCAAAACGGACTAGGAACATCCAGTCACCCGGTTAGGGGGGGGGGGGGAGGGGGGGTTACGGGGAGTTCGTAGGTGGCTTGCTAGTCCGATCTGTGCTCGGAATAATATTTGGCAGCGAGGGCAGAGGGATAGTTGCTGCAGTCGGTCATCTAATGTTGCTCTTTCGGGCTAGCCTGCATGTCTCAGTTGTGACCAGCCTACTGGCTTCATGAGATTTAGCCCCCTTTTTGACAGCTGATCTCCACTATGATAATAATAATAATAATATATATATATTATTATTATATATTAATATATTATTATATATAAATATATATTTAATGCTAGCCATTCCATTAACCTATATACAACATAGAGAAATTGAACGAAAACGAAACAAAACAAGGAATGTGGCCAATGAAGATTAATTAATGGGCGAACATTTCTTTTTAGACCACATTTTTTAATGTAAAAACATTCATTTGCTTGACGACCAATCTGGTGCAATTTGCAAAGACCTCTTGTTAAGTCAAGGTTTCGTAGCAACAAACTACTGCAACAACTTTCAAGTTAACTCTATGATGAGGCATACCTCCAGACTCCAGGTGTTAAGGCTATAAGCTGTTCAAAAACTCCATTGGATAGTTTGCTGCCTCCTCGTCATTTGCAATGACTTGTTGAAAAGAATAAATATGCTGTTTTAGAATTTCATTTCAGATTGAATTCGTCTATGGACATTTTCTTGTAGTTTTCAACTCCAAAGTTTTAAAAGCCAATCGGAAAAGCATTGGTGGCACGCATGTTTTGGTCTAACTTTAGGACATGAACATATTCCCGCCAGCACTATTATTATTCATACGAGAAGAAAGTATTTCGGTTCTGCTGCTATGTGGAACAAGTCAAATGTATCTAAAATCCTCAACGAAATTATCTTCTGTTAAGAGTTCTCTATACTGTGTGTCAACTGCATTTACTCCATATGCTGGGACCATTGAAGCTTCATCACGGATTATCACGGTGGCCTTTTCCAGTTCATTTGCCTTATTACTTCCCTTCCACGTGGAACATTACAGCATGGCGTTATATTTATTGGACTAGGCAGCTTGAAACGACCGAGGAGTTGTCCACCCCTCAAGCACTGTTGCTCCTATGACTATACATTTGTAAGCGCGCATGGGAAGACAAATTCATCTTTGATAGTGATACCCAAGTAGTGCATGATTGTGTTGTAAAGGAAGGGTAAGTTAGGGTTTTCAATTGTTTCCCCGATTTTGTTGATAGCTCTTCTTTTCCCCAGGTTGAGCACTTGAAACTTTTGTTCAAACATTTTTTCGGCACTTTGATCGTACTATTTTCCCAAATGTATTTGGCTCGTCATAGTTGCCGCCCGGAAGTTCTAGGCCAAAATGTGCCCACGACTTTCCATGTGTTCGAATGACGTAGTCAATTGTTACTAAGTGTCAAATATAGAGCTTTTTCTCCACCAGGAGAGCGTCACTTATGGTCTTCCATGCAATTTTCCTTATGTCTGTCTCGTATAGTCTTCTTTCAGATTGTTCTTATGCAATTGTACTGATTTTAAAATATAAAAAATTCGTCAAACTTTTCATATACCAGTACCAGTAATCAACTTAGAGAATTTTGAAAATTATTGTACTGTAATAGATCCACCAGGCCATAATGAATAAAACGTTTTAGGACCACTACTATAATAAAATATAGCATAAGTCTTTGGTAAAAAGTTTCATCACCTATTTAAAAACTCAAGTTCCTATTTCTTGTCCGATTTGTTCCCACATAGATTGTTCTACTATTAGTGATAGTAAGACTGGGAGGACCATTGATTGGAAATAAAAAGAATATGTCAACTTTCAAATAATTGTGATAATACTTCTTTAATTAGTGAAATACCAGTAGTTCTTTAATTGTTATATTGAATGTATTTCTAATTTATAAAAAGAACTTAAACTTATACTTAAATATAAGCAGATGTATTTTATTTTTATCATAATATTTAAATTGATTTGATTTCCGTAAACTAATAGAAAATCATTATCAATGTTTTTAAGAATCCAAATATATTTAAATCAGTTTGCTTTTTAAGGGTTATATGGTTAGCCCAGCTCATGAATATCTATATATATATATATATATTCATGGCATTAGCTGGGCATGTTTGACATTGCTAATCATTATAGAAACAACTTCAAACATTCACAGTATATAATATGTCCTCTGTGTCCTCTTAACGAATTACAGAATTTATTTTGTCTGATGTGCAATGATACATTTAATAATGTATGTTATGTAAGGATCTTTTTGATATTTGTCTTTGTTCTATGGGTTTATTTATATGTTTACTTATTAGGATATTAAATAATTAAAAGCATTCTTTATTTATCCTTCATGATGCTTTTCTGCATGTTTGACATTGCTATTCATTATAGAAACAACTTCAAACATAATGTTTGAAGTTGTTTCTATAATGAATAGCAATGTCAAACATGCAGAAAAGCATCATGAAGGATAAATAAAGAATGCTTTTAATTATTTAATATCCTAATAAGTAAACATATAAATAAACCCATAGAACAAAGACAAATATCAAAAAGATCCTTACATAACATACATTATTAAATGTATCATTGCACATCAGACAAAATAAATTCTGTAATTCGTTAAGAGGACACAGTAGAATCAAAATCAAGTACCATACAAAATAGATTTCAGCTAGTTGATCAGTTTTAACACACAATGCCGGCTATATCAAGTTTTAGGCTATAGGCAAGACCAAAAATGCCAACCTTTATTGATAAAAAATTATGTTGATCAGTCATCTATTTTTACCATTTTTCAGTTTTCTAAAAACCTGTTTATATTCAAATGATAAAAATGGGCAATTAATTTTTTTTATTACAGTTTAACTTTACTCAAATTCTTAAATAGGCCTGTTTGTAATGGCGTTATATTAATGTGTATGTAACAGTTGATTTTCTGACAAACATGGTTTCTTGCATTTGCAGAGAACTTAAAAATAAGTAGGCAGCGGAAAAAAATGGTGTGATGACAAATTTATGAAATCGTTAAATTTCTATTTATTAAATGTTTATTTCAATAAAATTGTGCTTTTCTCACTTTGAGAGATGCAAAATCCTGAAATTCTGGTCATAAAAAAACCTCTTCTGCACTTGTTCTTTTTAAACTTAACAAACAATCTTTAGGCAATGTCGAAATAAGGTATGTTTATAAGTGGGAGCTTCAAAAAGGTTCTGGTTGTGTTTGTTGCTGCATCCATATTACTGGCATCTGTGCAACGGTTGAGGAAGCGATGTTGTTATTCTAACAACTCCTAGCAGGTGCCAGGGCAGCCTTGAAGCTTTCGACCGATGTCCAGTCCACAGCGGCATAGTCCAGGTGGTTCCAAGCAATTATTGTGCGTGGGAAGAATGATTGTTTATACTGCATTGTGTTACACTGAGGCATAGTGAAGCATTTGCTATTGTTTCGGGTGTAATTGTTTATGGGGTTGTCAGTGGTGAAATCAGGGTTCAGTGAGCGTTTGGCTCTGATTAATCGACCCATGGGTTCATGGGAATATTACTGCAATATAAGCATAATTCACATAGCCACATACACATTTGGAAAACTATCAACCTAGCCCATTAGACATGGGACTTCATTCTGAATCTTCGTTTTGGGATGCTAAGGCCCATAGATGGTCCGTGCATACTCTTTTATAATATTTCTCTAACTTTTTAAAAAATGTCAAACATAAATCCAAATGAGTAACTGCAGGATGATATCTGTACAAATAAAACATTAACTGAATACGTTGCGGTTATGGAAATCTGGTTAAACATAACATCAAAAATTTTTCTCAGGGTCATGAATTAAATCATCTGCACCTCCGAAGTCAAATTTTCTCTTTTTAGGCGAGAGATTTTCTGTCTTTCAAATAGGGAAATTGAATTCAATATCTATTTCTTCTGCAAATGATTTATCCCTTTCCTGTGGGGATATTGCAGTCAATACCTAGTTCTTCTTCCATTGGTGGCCCCAGTTTAATGCTTTAGCTGTTGTAATGCTTTAGCAAGGACTTCATCTGTAAAAACAATTTCCATTAAAATTTAATGTTAAATTGATTTAAAATCAGAGATCATTTTCTTGAAATGTATATGGTCTTGAAATGACCAGATATATAGACCTCAAATAAAATATTAAACCACTAATTAATTCATGAACTTGCAATCGAGTCGAGTATTTTTTGATGTTGCAATTCCCTATTTTCTGTACATGACTGAGTTTAAAATGTGGTCCATTTAGTGAGAACTAGTCAAAAATTGAAATGAGTGCATTGTACATTTTAAATGTTTTGTATTGTATTACTTCCAAAAGTAGTAAAAACATATCAAAATCTTTTATTGAAGAAGAAGACACATCACTAAAAACAGGGCTGGAAGTTAACCAAAAAACACAACAAATGAATATGTTAAGAGAAGATGAAGAAGAAACAGATTAAAGCCTTAAAATTAGAAATCACACTTCTGAGAAAACAAGCAATTCAAATACCTAGGAAACTTAATAAATGAAAGAAAGAAATTACTAACAGAAATAAAAGAAAGAATATCGGCCAGAAACAAGACATAATTTAGTAGTCACAAAATACTAAAAAGTAAACATTACAAGTTACAAGAAAAATTGAGAAAACTATAAATAAAATTGTAATCAGATTATTTGTAACATATGTAGATAAAACTTGGACACTAATAAAAATGGCAGAAAACCTATTAAACACATGGGAGAGAACAGTTTTCAGAAAAAATATATTGACAAAAATAAATATGGATGGAGAATACGAACCAACCAGGAATTGTATAGTCTCTATCAGGATCCCACGCTAGTAGCAGAAATAAAAAAGGACAAGCTACGCTAGGCAGGGCACTTAAAAAGAATGACAGAGGAGTGAAGAGATTGGACCTCCGAAACACCAGAGAAAACGGCTCAAAGGCAGACCTAGGCTCAGATTGATGGATGATGTGGGAAAAAATCTACAGCAACTGCGAATTCAAGCATGGAAAAGAAAAGCATCAGTTAGGTCTAAGTGGTGAGGCAAGGCAAAGCCCTACATGGGCAGTAACACCACAGGGATGGATTGTACTTCTTCCTCAGCATTAACACCAGTGGCGTAGCTATGTTTTCCTAGAAAGAAACAAAAAACCAATCAGTTGGTCAAACAAAATGCAGCCTATCAATTTAATGAAAGAAATGCTGCTCAGGGTACACGTTATTGTTCTAAAATGAAAAGAAAAAAAAAGGTGGCTTATGGAAGACAACTTCATGCAAGAAGTTGCTCACAGAAGGTGTCATTCTAATACAGTGCTGTCCAACCTGCGATACTGCCCATGGAAAAGGGGGAGGTCACAAAAGTTAAGGCGCCCAATAGCTTGACAGGAAGCAGTATTGTTAAACACATCAACAGAGCAGCCATTTGGGAACCTGGGAGACTTAAAATCGGATACCATCTTCTATTGCTTTCTGTTGCTTGTACAGGGGGGTGTTGTGCAAAAATTACTAGCGTCATTGGGAAAGATGAATAGAGAAACCAAAAGTGGCTTGATGTGTAGCTATTTAGTCATTGTAAAAATGTCCATGGCCCCTCCCTACGCCAAAGGGACCAGCTTAGATGAAATAGATAGGTGAGCATAGTGAGTTAACTACTGCCAGGAAAGTCTTCCAGTCACAGTAATCGAGATTGGAAGCTGAGGTACTAAATGTGTTACAATTGAATGACTACGGTAGGTAGTGTGAACAATTTATGGCACATTGTTATTTAAAAGTAAGCCAGGTATGGGGGTGTTGTGTCCATCCTGTATTGTTGTGACAATGGGGACAAGTACCTGGTATTCAGAGATCAGAGTATGAGTAGAAGCAGGATATCGCTATGATTGTTTGTAGTTAGTACAATTAGGTTAAAGAGAAATTGTGTGAGACAGTAGGAACAATTCTTGAAAGTATTTTTTAATGAACAAACATAAGAATACATGGCCTAATAAATTCTGGATAACGCCATGTTTCTTCTCATGAACTTTCATAGCTATGGAAATGTAACAAAATTGTGACCATGTTTTTGGAATCACCTTACATCAGTGAATGAGGATTCTCCGTAAATAAAAACATCAAAAAATCATAACGCTTTGACTAGTGAACATTTAAAAATCCAATGAGGGCAGGTGATACTGATAACTAACTCAAATTAAGATAATTGCAAGTACAATTCAAAGCAAAATATGTCATTAAAAAGGGCCACAATTTTTATTTGCTTTATTTATATTCTAGAAAAGCTGATAAAAACGCTATTGGATATATAACTCTTTATGCATAAGGTAAGAAGCATTAATAATATAAATAATTTTCTTTTGAGATGTGCGGCCCTCGGGTTCCTGGAAATTTTTTTTTGGCCTTTATAGTCAAAAAGGTTGGTCAGCACTGTTCTAGTTCTAATACATAAATGCCCCAGAGTCATGTTCTTTGCGGGGCATGCACAGGTAATACACAGTACTTAATGATTTGTCCAGAATATAAATGGCTAAACTAAATACCACGCTAAAAAATAATGTACCATATCTAAATAAGAAACAATGAAAACTCACTCATAAATTTATTTCTGGACGTTTGGGAAATTATTTCTTCGATTTGTGCCACCTTACACTGCATCTTTCATTCTGGCAGTATTTGATCTTAGTTTGAACCACATTTTTGGGTCAGCTGTACAACTCTCACAAACAATGTCACCATCTTCATTATAAGACAAGAAAAGGTTGTTGTGACCAATTAATGCCATCTTGCCCTGAAAAATACACAAAATATATCTAATTAAATTTTAATATTAATATAACAGGTTATATTTTTAATAATAAATGTATCACTTTTATGTGAATAAGAATCGTATAATGCAGTTGAGACAAAGTTAAGGAACTTTCACCAGTAAAATTTAAAAAAAAATGAATAGTTTGGTACAGTACTAGAATATTTTATATGGTTCATCAGCAGTAGTTGAAACAAAAAATAATGGTAGAGTTAAGATTTTGTTATGTAGACAAATGGTGGAAATACAAAATATTAACTCTTTTAAATGTATTATAAATTTATTACGATTATTTGAAGAAGAATGATATAATGAATTTTAGTTACTGTTTATCAGCTGTCCTTAAAAAAAAATTATTGTTCAGTTAAGATTTTGTTGTAAGACACACCAAGTGGAAATAGAAATTATTAAACTCTTTTAACTTAAAAAAAATGATTATATTTTTTACAAACGTGATATAAAAAATATGTATATTTTAAAGCTGTCTTTATGTTAATGAAATCTAAAACCACAATCATAAAAAATTAGCTTTAGTTACCTGTTACCACTATATTGCAATAGCAATGAATCAGCCATTAAAAAGTAAATTAAAATACTGATGATGTACATTTATTTATTATACTAAGAAATAGTATTACTGACTAACTTCCTGAAACACAGGTTCAAACTGTTCCCTGGTCCCAACAGTATCAGCTATACTAACAACTCTGCCATCAGTTTGTAAACTCCAGTATTTGCCATTCATAGACTTAAAGGCAACGTTTGAAGTATCTATCCTAATGGCTGTGAAAATATCAGAAGGGTTGGTGGGTCCCTCTCCTGAAAAAAGAAAGGAACTGAAATTGAAATTAATTTTTAAAATTTGTTGATAAAGCAGTTTTTGACCAAAAACAACAAAACTTTATGATAACAAAAAATCATAAACATGCATTTTAAAGCTGGGTTTTTGTTAAAGTTGATGCTCACCAGAGTCATTGTGATTCCAAAGTTCTAAAGCCCCATTGTCTAGGACTGTGATGTAAGTCTGCTTTTCAATTTCAATGGCAACACTGGCTGGAATGTCGGTAAATTTCTCTACCTCCCACCATCCTTATGTCACACAGAAAATTAATCTTATTTAAAAACATAAATTATGAGATTCTTACCCAGTATATTACTTTTAACTACATAAACTTCTGGTTTCTTTTTTCTTATTACTTTACAACTAAGAGTCATTTTTTTTTAAATTTGCCAATTTTTAAAAAATAAACCTGAGTGGTAATTTCAAGCTAATGAATTTAATGCTATAATCTGACTCTTACGTATTCTAGGCATAACTTAATGATAAACAAAATCTTTAAAAGGTGTTTTACCATGATGTGAGGTCTCTTCTTTCTCATGAGAATGTAAAACTATACCTTCAGGGGTGCGGATATGTGTTCTCTTTTTGCTAATGTGATTTTTAAAATATGAAAAAAAGTCTCCCAGATTAAAGTTATCTAATGCTTGTAAATAAAAGTATATAACTGATATAATAACAAAATCATAAGTTACAATATATTGTCTTTTTTTTTCTTGAAATGTTATAATCATTTTCTCATACCTTTTGGCCTGTAACTTGGCTTCAGGATATCCTGGTGTTATTTTTTTAATGGAAATTTTCTCCTGTAATTTCATCAGTTCACATCTTAAATTGTCAACATCTGATTCAAGTTCTTGGATCATTTCTTCTTTTATTTGAATTTCCTTTCTTAGAGTTTCAATTCCTAAACTTATAGGAGCTGAATTGTATGGTGTTTTATGTTTCTTCCTTTTTGGAACAGCAACATGCTCTTGCCCGGTTAGGGATTTTAATTTAATTACTTCAAGTTTTAAGTTGAAATTTTCTATATTTAAAGCTTTTCGTTCCCTTCTTAACTTGTCTATGGTTGCATCCTTTCTTTTCATATTTTGATTCACAACTCTGATATTATAGTTTTTTGACATTTCTCTTAAAGTTTTTCGTGATGATCTGAGTTTAACCTTCATTTCTGCTATTGCCTTCATGTTAGATTTTCTTATTTTGGAACACTTCTCACAGTCAGTTTTGAGTTGCTTTTCTGGAGCTTGTGGTAGGCTATCAGACTGCTGATGAGCTATCTGTGGAAGAAAACATTCATTCTTGTGTGATGAGAGTTATATCAATAGAGCTTGTGGACAACTGCTTTTTCTTAGTAACTGGTGCTTTACGCGGCTGCAGCAAAAAATTCTGAATAATAATTCAGTTTTGTTCTAATTGTATTTTCCACCTATAAAGCCTGTCTTCCTATGTTAATAGACTAGACTGTATTGCATTCTTATTGGACAGATAGCTACTATTTTTTTGCTGAAAGCACTCGTCAAGCTTGGACCCTACAGCTTTCATACCTGTCTTCTTGTTAGTGCTGCTTCTATAAAGAAGGACAACAGACCCATTCCTGTACTACTTTGTGGCTTCATCAGGGAAAAAAATAATTCTACAAGTTCTATCTATGCCTAAAGTATCATGCTTTCATTAGTATTACATTATTTACATGAGTTGAAAAATCAAAAGAGCTGCTGGAAGATACCATCTTTTTCTTCTTGGTACCTGGCACTTGCACAGGCTAAAACAAAAGGTCCTGGGTTTAATTTTAAATGCTTTTTTAAAGTAAAGATTTTTGTTGCCAAGTTAAACAAACTGGTACATATTCCACTTATGTTGGACATATAGTCTATAAGCTGTCAAAATCCTGAAGGTTTACAGACATTGTCAGGATAACTGAAACATAATTTTTTCTGTAAAATCTCAGAATATTTGACTTATTAGTATTCTGATTATGGGCTAACAATAATATTATAATTATTTTGTTTATATATATATATATTTAACATTTTTGTTTAATATTATACAGTGTAAAAATACAAAATACAATTGACTTAAGCATTATTAAACTCAATAGACTAGGCTGAGGACAGAAGAGCTGAAAAAGCACAGTACAATAGGTACTCCAACTCAAATTTTCAAATACATCTGACATACACAAAGAGCTTACCATTGGAAAGAGCTGGCTCTAAGCTTTCCAATGACACCAAGATAATCTTTCTATCACTTATAGGAGAAAAGTTATGATTTTTTTAGTAATTTATTTTTCCCCACTATTCGGCTTTGTATTTAATTTTTAAAACTGTGATCACATTATTACTCTTTTTGTACTATTTTGCTTGTATCTTTTTGGCTTTAAAAGTTAGAGCTCTCAAATTTGGAGGAGACGTTTACAATACAATGTTTAACTAAGCAAAACACATGAATTGTGAATTAACTTATTATATTTGAAAAAAATATTCAATAATGTTTCACCAACATTATCAACAATTAAAGTAGCCTCAGGCATCTTTCGCTTCTTTTTTGGACTGGATACTGGTACATGCACAGGTGTCTGCAGCAGGTCTTCTATCAAGTGCCAGTTTCTATCAATGCCTCTCTTTAAACCTGTAACCTTTTCCAAAAGCCTGTTGATAATTCCTTTGATGACATTTACATTTGACACATAGTTACTGTCTGATTGCTGCAGGCATTCATCAAGTAATCTTGCAGTATTTGACATATGCTTGCCATTGGTGTAATACAGGTGTACAGCAAAGCCATTCCTGTAACGTTTTGTGACAGCATCCTCAGCAAAATTTGTCACATAAATTTCAAAATCTTTAATTGTTTTTTTAATACCAGCCATAGCAATTTTATAAGACTATAATTGCAGAGATAAACAGCAGAATCACGGGAAATGACAATTTGTAAATCTGAAAAAAATATCAGGACTACTAATTAGGAATACATATAAATTAAATTCAATATTTTTAGATAGGCTACAAAATGTTCCTTAGTTTATGTACATTTAATTTATAGCTGTTAATAACTTAGTACCATAGACCATAGGCTATCTTACTAATTCATTGTCGTCTTTGTTGTCTTATTTATATTTACATGTATTATTGATCCAAAGCATGTTCTTATATAACAACTATATTAGGTCTAAAGTGTAATTATTATTAAAAACCAGTTATGAAAAGTGTATATTTATAATCTAACAACTAAGTTATAATGTGGGAAATCTTTATTTAGCTGTTTCTAAAACGTTTAAAATAATAATAATCACTGTTTACATTAGCGATACACCACTTCCGGTAGATCGAGTGGAAAAAAATGGCCACGGCTTGGAAGCCTTGAATTTTTCGTCACGGCGTTCAAGCTCTAATAAATTTTGTTAATGATCAGTACTCTTTAAATAAAGTGCTTCCACTTTTAAAATATATAAACTATGCGTACAAGTAATTTCCAAGGCCGAACAAGTTTTAAATTAAAAAAATAAGCACAGCGAACTCACTTAACCAAAACAACTTTTCAATTGATGGTCTCAGCGTGGTCGGATCTCCTATTTATTGATACCCCCGTAACCGGCATGCATCGCGGATTCAAATTAAAATAAGGAAGTTCCTCTATTTTTAGAAATGACGCAAAACAACGCTAAACACCGACATCTACCGAAAACGAAAAGCGCGAGCTGATCACAGCGATTGCCGCTCGGCAGGCCACGTCTTTCTACTTTCTACCGCTGGCGGCGAAAGTATTGGAGTGCCTACAGTACAACGGTAAAACAAACAATATGATCATTAATGAGGTTATAAATTAATTACAGTCTCTTCAACGATGTCGCCACTTGGAACGATATCACTAATATCAGGTATCAACTGTCTCTTCTTCGGTATAGGTACATGAACGGGACGCAGTAGCAAATCTTCTATAAAATGCCAGCTTCTATCAACATTTTTCTTTAAGCGTTTGATTTTATCCAAAAGTTCATATATACTGCTCTTTGCAGCACTTTTATTTGGCACATAATTACTGTCTGATTCTTGGAAACATTTAACCAGTGTCTCTGCAGCATTTAATAAGTTCTTTCCATTTCTGAAATACACATGGACAATAAAGCCATTTCTGTAACATTTGGTTACTGCATCCTCAGCAAAGCTTGACACAAAATTTTCGAAGTCTTTTTGTGTTTTTTTAATATGAACTTCAGCCATTTTCACACTATTCAAAAGAGGTTAATCAACAGCAGTGAAGATAAACAGGGATGGATAACAACTAGGGTGAACTGAAACTGAAAAGAAAAAAGAAAGATTGTTTGCATTTAAATTAAGCAAATTAAAGAAAAACTCCCTATTGTTAAATATTTTTATTTCATTAACATAATTATAGTATAACTATAGGTATATTATATCCTACTCATACACCCTTACACTTACAACTATTAGTATTAGTCTTAGTACTTAGTTTATCCAATAAAAATAGCTAATATAATATAATAGTAATAGCACTGTTATAAGAATTTAAGATCATTAAGAAGTCAATTAAGAAGATGAGTCGAGGAATTCGATTGTCTGAATGACAAATTGATAAAATGCGTAATATATACAGAATAATTGTACAAATAAATAATTTAAAACAAATTGTATACAATTATGTATACAATTATATTGTTTTGTCATAACTTAGAATAAAAAAAATGATTTTTAAAATCAGATGCTTAATGATTTATTAATATTTTTTTTTATTAAAAACGTTTATTTCCAAATAATAATTTAAACTTTAAACGAACCGAAAAGAGATAAAATATAATATATATTATAGGGTAAAAGTGCAGTTCAGGTGCGTATATTATTTCTTAGCGCATTTCGTATTTTAAATTTTTTTTATCATGTAAACTTACGTGTATTCTTTAAACTTTAATAATTAAAACCAGGCAGTTATAGTTAACTAATTCTGAATTATAAATCGCATCTTTTCTTTTATTTTACTTCTAAAGAGTCTTTAAACATCCCCCAAACAAAGTGACAGGGCCCCCATTTGTTTGTATTTTTCTTTTTACGCTATGCCAGATTTTTAGCCACCTATAAGTTAGTAATGCTAAACGAAATTTTCAAACTAAGCATGTTCACAAAAAAGAATGAAATACTAGATTCTTCAT